TTTATATAAAATATTATTATTTTTTTACAATCGTATTTCAAAAAAAAAAAAAAACAAACAGATTAGTTAAACATGATTAGATATAGACTTGAGATTCTTTCCAAAAGACAATTATTACATTCTGAAGATTATATAGCACAATTGGCCACATGACATATGACGTATTCACTTATTACTATTAATATTTATTAATGTTTTGACGGCTATGGCGACTATCTGTTTTTTTTTTTTTTGATGGATTTGGTCTTAAGTTCGTGAAACATTGTAAGCTTATTAATATAAGCCATTGACTTTCAGTAGCCTTAGAAAAAAGCAATGATGATGTCAAATTGAACGTATGCGGACAGTCAAAACCGATATTTTTTGATATCAAAATACTGGCGAACAATGAAACCAGAAGTGCTGCAGATCATTTTATGCACAATGCGCTTAAAAAAATAGATTGTTATAGCGGGATAACGCACCTGACAGACAGTTATTACTTTGCCACTGACTTCAATGAAAAAGTATGTTGTGTTGATTATATCAACACACCATACTCCAAACAACTTTATATAAGTTAAAAAGTTTTTTTCGAATTTGAAAGGTTTTCTATGGCGTTAAATCGCAATTTAAATTCTTGCTTTCCTCGTCAAAATTGCAGTGCTGTCAGATAGGACCATATTAAATAGCTAACTCTGTACAATACATTTTGATGCTAAACTATTTTAAGGCCCACAATTCATCACCTGATATGATAATGTGATGGAACTCATTACATCTGTGCAATAAAAGTGTACTTTTTATCAAGCTTAAAGATATTGTACGTTTTGGTAGTGTATAAGAGGAGCGGTTGCAGTACCTACCAGGGTGCTGGCAATGCTCAAAATGAAATTCTTTTTAAAAGTTACATTAGTTAACAAAAAACATATCCGGTGCAATACATTTGTGCAATTCCTTTTTTTAAATAGATTCTTAAATATTTTTATTTAGTCATCATTTAAAGTATTTTGTAAATAAATAATAAATAATAGACCTCGATAATTACAAACAGTGGAATAAAATATTAAAAGTTTATTAACCTAAATAGGATCATTCTTGTTAATGTGCACTTTCCATATATTTGTCATAAATCTTGATTATTTGTCACTATTGTAAGTTTGTCCTAATTTTTTTATATTTCAGGGATCATATTTCAGAAGAAATCTCTTCACTTACATAAACAAGAGTATAAATTTCAATCCTGATTTTGCAAACTTTTATGTTGAAATATACGCTGCTAACTAGTCAACGCAGTGCGGTTAGCGAATTTCATTTATGGTTGCTAAGTGTGCTTATATGAGATAATATATTTCCGCATAAAAGTGACATGAAAACATAAGCATTCCCTCAAAGTAACCCAACTGCTACTCCAGAAACACTCCGCACATTGCGAAACAAAGCCAGTTTCGCGGCTCGCAGTGTTCTGTGCTGCAGTATGTCTGCGTACTGTACACTTCCGACTGAACGAATGTATCCATTTTTGTTGGTTTCGTTCACAAATGCTGAGCGCTACTTAGCTATTTAAATATGAAGTCATAAAAAATTGGGTCAGCATAGAGTGAAACTTCGTGTTTCACAAACGCATCGTTACTGCAATTATTTAGCAACTATAGGCGTGCCTGCTGGGCTCCACTTCATTTCATGCAGAATTTTGCACTACTCGCAGTACATGCAGAACAAAGAGTTCTACGTGCATAAAGACCACCAACAAAAGAAAAAAAAATAACATAAACTAAAAAAAACTATAGTAAACTGTAATCCATGCGTGTACTTCGACGGGGACAGGGGACATTCCGTAGAAATATTCTTGCTCCAAATACGCTGGAAGCGTCAATAATTTGTGTTCAACCACATAAATGCCTCACACACGTACACACGTTTACCAACATAATGACAAAAGTACACCGAATCATATTTACTGACATAAACATGCATTTTACATGCGGTTGTTCACTTTGTTCCTGACTGCCGTTTGTCGTTGTTGGTGCTGATGTTAGCTGTCTATCTTTGGCACGTACTGTACATCAGCTTAAGCCATTAAATAGTCGCTTGCCTAGTTAGGAGGCATAAAAGTTTGCTAAATGGTGATGTTTTTGTATAAATTGCTGACTGCAATATTTAAGCCTCCGGCGGATTTCCACAATTCAATTTAGTAACTTGCAACAACGGAATAATGCCAAATATGAAGCGAAAAATACACACAAAAATAAAGTTCTTCAATTTATTTTGAGTTATTGGTAAATATCAATTTTTTTGAAAAATTTGAAGACAATAGTTTTAACCTTATTTTATTGCTTCCTAGTCATATTAGTAGGCACATAAGTTCCTATTTACGTGACATTAGTAAAATTTTTACAGTTTTTTTCATCTCCGCATTTTGCAAGGCTGTCTAATCTCATAAAAGAACTCAACTGGTATTAATAGTTATGTATACTCTTGGTTTGCTCAATTAGTGAAATGGAAACTGTTACATTCTGAGTAAGATTTATGTCCTCAGGAATCAATATAGGATACTCATTAGCTATTTTATGTATGACATAAAATTAGAACTATTGTAGCAGAAAAATAGAAGAATCACAAAAACTTGGCTGTCTGCGTATTGAGGAGCCAAACTCAAATCATAATCGTACTTTTGATTCTGTTAAAGACGTTTGACAATTTATCCAAAAAATGTGTGAAGTTGGAGAAACTCTTTATATAAAGATGGAGAAATTTTGCTCTCTTTGTAAAAAAAGTGGGGGAAACTAAGAATGTTTTCATGATTCTATATGAAAAAGAGACTTTAACCAGTGTATTATCTCTGAAAACATATATCATAAGTAATAGAAATGAGATTTATAAAATGGAAAGTTTAAATTTTTAATAGAAATATCTAATAAAGATCAGGGACTTAAGCCAATTAATATTTTAAATTTTTTTATATAAGCAATAAGTTCCAAAATGATTTAATCCTACATTTAATTTTCATTCAGTGATATGCAAATTATCTGTATCAAAATCTATTAGTTTTTGGGATCTTATACTAAACTAAAAGACTTCAGTTCAATTAGAGTAACATACTTCTTACTTAAGACTATATTAGACATTGTAGAAATTCATATCGTAATCAGTCTATTCCACTTTATGCATATACCATAATTATACATACATATATAAGTTCCCATTAGTTGAAAGGTTTTACTGAAAACAAATATTATGTATAAGAATAATCTTGTGTTAAAATAAATCTTCTAGCTTAGATATATTTAGAAAATGAAATAACAAATTTCTTATGTTTCACGTCTGATAACTGGAATACGATTTCAGCCAAACGTCTTTCATAATTTGATGGCTGAGATCATCCCAACTCGTTCCTTAAACCCACTAAGTTCAAGAAGAAAACATTGATTATAAAAACAATGCCTGAAGGTGAAGGTCTAAAGAAAGCAATATTGGAGAAATATAATATATCCAATATTCCCAACTCGTTCCTTAAACCCACTAAGTTCAAATATCACACTTGGGATTGAAATGCTTTCCACCTACCGCAAACGAAAACAAAAAAGAATCATGATCTGAGTCCGTCGTATTCGACGTGTTTAATGAAATGAATTATTTCTGCAAAAAACATAAAGAACTGCAATAGAGCAATGGTCTAAAAATTGAAATTCTGTGCAAAGTCATGGCATTATTACAGCATCCATGAATGACACATGGCGTATACGTATCCTCGACTTATACTTTTCAGTACAGAACGCTTAAATAATAGGCGTTCTGTACGTCAAATTATGTTGACGTTGAGATATATGTTGAAATAAAACTCAACCTAAATTATGAGGAAATATGGGGAAAACTTAAGACACATTTTTGTGGTTAATGGTATACGAGAAACTCCATTTTTAGAAACATAAAAATTAATAAAAGAATGAAGCGTATTTTCATTTAATGAATTCGTTACTACAGCTAGCTTCTATTAAATACTCATTAATAAAAAAACTCATAGTTTTATTTTGGAAATTATATTAAAGTTAAAGTTAATATAAATTGCATTAAATGCTTTTGTAATAGCATTCACTGTAGAAAATAACAAAAGTTCAGTTTCTGGTATCATTGTTTAATACACTTCAATTATTTCAATGAAAGCCTTTCAAACGCATATTTATTGTAATAAATTTTATAATAATATGATGATAGTAATCAAAATACATATTTTTTTTTAATTAGAAGCTCTAACTACGATAACCCAATCATATAATAATTATTATAATCTTTTTTATCAACTATTCAATGGGAAATTTATTAAGTCCATATATGGTTAATCAACTACTGACATAGTTCAGTGAGAACCTGAAAGCAATGTTTGACACAGAAAACGACTATATATGACGATGAGAATTATTAACCTATACTCATATATTTGGAATAATGTTCACACATGTGTGACTTGTATAGACTTGCCGTCTATACTAGCACTTTTAATGGTGAGTTTGTGGAGAACTCAGCAATATAAACAATAACAGAGACAAATAACATCGGCAACGCCAATTGTTCTCTCATATATTGTCTGATAATTTATGTTATAAGTGAATGGGTTAAGACTAACACCAATTGAAATGCTATCAACAGAATATGACTTTATATGGCAGCAAGCAATATTAAAATATACTCCTCATATAAGAGATAAAGAGGGCAAAGACGCGTTACCGTCCCTTAATTCCAGTTTTTTCTCTCATATAGAAGAGTTGGTTGAGAGTTTTGATATATAAACAATAACAGAGCCAAATAACAATGGAAAGCTTTTTGATTTCTTTTCTTTTTGATTTAAAAATATATAAACAAACTTAAAAATATAATTTTTAATATTGTTATCTAGCAATTATCAATAAAAATACTAAAAAAACACAAAATTGTTGTTGTTTTTTTTAAACAAATTAAAATAAAATTTTTATTTATTATATATATGGAACAAATACTTAAATTTGTTCAGTATGTACAAAAGCGTCTCGCTTGAAACACGTTACGCCCAAAAAAAATATTTGTTTGAAAGTGTTTAATTATTGACTTGAATATGGCAGACAAAGTTGATAGTTTTAATGAAGATGAATTAGAAGCGCCTGAGTGGATAAATGCTGACTTTCTAACAAAAGTGCTGAATAGCTGTGAAACAGATACAGATATTACAGTGAATAACTTTAAAATAACACCCGCTTCAGCTAAAGGAGATCATTATGCTAGCATTATGTTCAGAATCTATGTTGAATTTAAACAGAAGGGCGAACTGAGGAAGAAAACATTGATTATTAAAACAATGCCTGAAGCTGAAGGTCTAAAGAAAGCAATATTAGAGAAATCTAGTATATTTGAAATTGAAATCGGAATGTATACGCAAATTTTACCCAAATTTGAAGAACTTTTACGCAGTGTTGGTGATAAAACTGTATTAAGTCCAAAGTAAGTGTTTGGATTTTATTACGACGACCTTAAATATTAAACATAATGTTTATTTTTAATATCTGTAGATGTTTGTACCAAAGTTTGAGTCCAAAGAAATTAATAATATTGGAAGATTTGGTACCTTTAGGGTACGCAACGTTACACGAACGTCACATTAACTTAGATGAAGTTAAAATGGTTTATTCGAAATTAGCAAAGTGGCATGCAATGAGTTACAAGATTGGGCTTGAGGTATGGAATAGTTTTTTATTTACTACTGATTTAAAATCGATTATATTCTTAAACGATATTATATAGTGATATTGTATTAAATCCGAAACAAAACAAAAACATTTATACTGAGAGAAACCAAGACATCAATAGAGTCATTGATTCGTTTAAATTAGAACGTGTGATGATAATAACATTTTTTAACATGCATTCGTAATATATATTTTTGCCCCTTATCTTCCCTTGATAAATACTCTTCACCACTTAGGTGATAATTTCTTTTTAGGCAGATATATTTCATTTTCTGTATAGTGAAGGTCTTGTTGCATTTGTCGTTGAATTGAGTAATAAATTACAAATCATTCTAAATCAGTATTTTAAATGAAATATATATAAATGATTATATATGTCTTAAAACTTATAAAAGTTGTCAACCCAAAAAAAAGATTTTTTTGAGTTTTTATTGTTACTGATTGATTGTCTTCTAAGCTCGATACACTCTCTTCAATTATGTTATTATGATGTAGCTCTTTATTCAATATAAATCATGCATTTAGTCAAGGTCTTTCAAATACACATTTCTATACATTCATTTGATAAAAACGTTGACCCTTTGGCTTTTAACCACAGAAAAAAACGAATAGATGAATGCGATACTTAAATTTAAATTTTAACAAATACCAAAGATGGGGACGATGTATAGGACACGAAGTATTTTCTCTCCAAATGCGTGTGCATTTGGATAATCATAACATTAAATTAATTCAATAAGTATACATAATATGTTGAACTTATTTTGGGTCTATTTAAAAAATTTCAATCAGCAAAAATACTTCCAATACACTTGTCTTCCTCGGGCTTTTTTCATCTTACATTTAACTATATTTTTTGATTACTACTTGATGTCCAGATTGTATTAGTGGTTTAATCAATAATTTTAAATCTAAATCAAAAACTTTATTCTACTCTGCTCAAATCATTCTAATGGACTACTTGAAACGAAGGTTGATAAACATGGCACCAGGATATAATTTTGTCTTAGTAAAACTCCCCATATTCAGGTTAAAATAACAGCAGCACCGTTTTATATTACAAGAATTCATCGACAGTTAGATACAGAAACATCTAAAGCAAATCAATGAGAAAAATATTTGAGAATACTTTTAAAAAAAATTCCTGCTGATATGTTCAGTATGGCATTTTAAATTTTTCATAAAATATTTTCAGCATGAAGGATTTGTATTCCGATCGAACATCCTATGTATCATCAGATATTAGCAGTTAGTTACACATAAACATACCTACCTATATCTATTAAAAACAAATTACTTTTAGTTCTTATTAGTTCCCTTACTGGTTTTTTCAGAACCCATCTATCTTCGATGATTATCGTTATGGTGTTATGTCTGGTACGGCAATGATCAATAACATAATGTATAAAGATGGTGTGAAAAACTTCGTAGAACTACTAAGCTGTACGCCTAGTTTGGTGCCTTATGTGTCATATTTTCAAAACTTTTGTGAAAATATTCTGCTTAAATGCAAGGATAGTTTCAACGAATACCGCGTAAATCCTCAAGAAACGGCATTTTATGTCTTGAGCCATGGTGATTTTCATAATAAAAACTTAATGTTTAAGAATAATAAGAGCACTGGTAGTCTGGAGGATGTGATGCTGTTAGACTTTCAGTTCTGTTACTTTGGACCACTCGTTAACGATTTGATATATTCATTCTTTTTAATATTAAGTCCTGAGCAACGTCAAAATAACGTTGATGAACTGCTTTATGTCTATTACAAAGAGTTCAAACAAATACTAGAGAAAGTTGACTTTAAAGGTCCAAAGCTCACACTGGCTGCTCTGAAGGAACAAATAATGAAGTATAAGCATTATGGTAAGTTTTGTGTAAATCTTAAGACTTATAATTTAATCTTAGTTTAATTTTTACTTTCAGAACTTTTTCTGTTGACTACTCTTCTGCCGATGTTCTATGGGTTCAAAGATGGTAGTGTCGATGTTGGAAGTTTGATGTCTTCGTCAGAAGCACGTGCACAAATTTATAAAAATAAGGACTATATTAAAGAAATTGAAGAACTTTTGCCTCGATATTTGCATAAAGGTTACTTCGAATACTGATCAAAGTATGCATATATTGAAATTTTATTAAATAGAATTTCATAAGCAGATCTTTCAAAGGAATATGTTATAACTTACAGCATCACCTGGATATTATATTTATTATATTGCAATATATTTGTTATCAATGAAATTCGTATTATTTAAATATTTTAAGTAGCACAATAAATTTCGGATTATTATCACAATTAAATTGTTTTTATAGTATTATTCTCTTATATAGAGCTTCACGGGGTGCTCGGGGTTTTTAATTTTTCTTCGAATCATAATATGTAAATTCATAACAAAAGTTGGTAGAGATGTTATCATTAATAATACGTGCATTACATTATTTGACAAATGCATGCACAAAATATAAGCTGGATATAATAAATGATATATGACCTATACATGAATAGGTAAATATTATATAAAACCATGGTTGCACTGAGACCCCTTGACGATCTCGTACAGATTTGGTATAAAACATGGTACAATTGCTGTATATTTGACGGATTCACTACAATAGTCTAAGCGTAACTTACTAAAAGTTTAATCTCATTCTAAATCTCAATCAATCTCAAAGAGATACATATGCAAAAATACGAATTAATATCATAAATACTAATAGCAATAACTGACAACTTAAGGTAGAGAGAGTAAAGAAAATACTTTGCACTAAACTACTTCAACATCAACTTCATAATACTCCTACATTAACAAAAAGCTAAATTCGTAATGATATCAAGCACACAAATAAATAAATCGTCCTTACTCAATGAATTCTTTGGCCGTAACAATCCGTATGGGTTTTTGGCCTGAGTTCAGTACATCTAGCGCGGGTAGTGCTTCTTGAACTTGATCGCGCCATTGGAGACACGTTATTTCAATACATCTTTTTTCTCTATATACCGCTTTGAATGCCTTATTAACTGGAGTATCATCACCCATTCTGGCAACATAAACAAATTAGAAAAGCCATTGGATGTTAATTTGCTAAATGATAGTAGTGTCGTGATAAAGTTCATACAGATTGTTGCTCAATCAATTGAGGTAGACGTCGCCAACTTATATCCAACCAAAGATTTTGCGAAGAGCTTTTCTCTCAAACAATTTCAGTGCTGTTTTATTATTTTGTAATAGAGTTTATGCTTCTACACCTTTCAGGTAAGATATGCGCCCCACAGGGCGTAATTTTTGTCGTCTAAGAAAGAGATGTTTAGTACAATTGGGTGCTTAAATCGTAGAAGAATAAATTGGCAATGGTCATTGGCTTTCTCCTGATCTCCTGATTGACATTGTTGTTGTTAGTTACGGCTATGTCAAGGTATTCTTTCTTGAGCAACACAAAATTTGATTTATTCAATATAATTCATCATAATACGTTCGTTGAAAATGTAATAGCAATAAAATTTTATTAGATTCTTAACAGCGAAAAAGAAATAAATAAGAAAATACAAAATATATATTTTGTATATAATTACATATTAAATTTATTATTTTTCAAAATAATTAGATGACTTATCAAAACGTATTATATTCTAAAAGAAAATAGCAACAGTATTCTAAAACAGAATAAACAAATTTAAAATTACCAATAATAAAAAAAATTACTGACTAAAATTATTTTTATCTATTAAGTATCAGTCACTTAAAATTGAAGTATTTTATTAATTTTATCGCACTATTGTTCAAATCTCTTGAGTTACTAAGTGCATATATAACATATTAAACTATTGCACATCAGACTTCTACTTGCCTGCAAGGCTGTTATCAGTTGCCATAGTGTCGAAGTGACAAGGTTATGTTTCTTTACTCTACATTTAAAATCAATAAATAGTTTTTACTTCGGTTAATAAAACCAGCGAACCTATCATAATGGTATATAGCAACATACCATATATATTATATATGTGGAATAATTTGTAGGAGAGCTAAAAACATTCTAGAGCGCTTTGTATACGTTACACGTGTATCATAGAATGTTTTATAGATTTATTCAATAGATTTTAAAGAATAAATAAGGGTCTTAAAAGTTAAAAACATATTCACTTTACTTTTTATCAGAGTGTTATATCCCAAAAAGTGTTTTTTATACTAAAAGAACTGAAGACAAAAAAAAATTAATTCTAATTACAACTATATAAGTGATAGATATTGAGGAGAAGCTTTATCGAGTGTGAAATTATGGAATATTTATAAAATTTGAATCTAAGCTATGACCAATGAGTTTTTCCTTTTTTTTTGCGATAGTTAACAACCGCATTGATGTTTTTTAACAAACATCAAAAGCCACAGTATGAGACCTAAACCAACTAAAATCATGGCTTAGGAATGGATATATGGAAAATTATAACCACATTTCAGTAATGAAGAACAGACATAGGAGCAGATAGGCTATAGTCAGCAAGCCAAATTTATCAAAAGTTTGACCAGAATGATTAAATGGGGAAAGCTTTTATAAGTGAAGACAGTGGAGTTAGCTCAAGCTTGCAGCACGACTAAGCTGAGAGTAAACTTTAGCCCGCGGTTCTTACAACCTCGATTGTAAAATGGAATGTGTGGCAGGTTGGCGTGCTTTGTTTTGAGATAAAAGCAAGGAATTAAGGGGGCTTGTGTTGTATGGTATTAACTAGTATGGTTTGTAGAGGGTCATTTTGGAGAATATTGAAAAGATCATGACCCCTTACGAAATATTTACTAATCATTAGACTACAATGAGTACACAAAATTTAATGGGTGTAGAGCAAAGTTTCTTCACACGGCAAATAAGTAGAAGCAAAGGATTTTATATGATTTAATACCATTACCGGAAACACAAAATTATTGCGCGCAATATGATTGCAGAAATTATACATTGGAAACTGATTGTGCTATCTCATTTTGATATTAACTCTCAAGAATAATGTAACAACATTTATGTAAATGAGTAATAATATTTACATATTTATAATAATATTACAACATAGGTTCTACTTCGGTTTAAATGAAAAAAAAAGAAAATAAAATAAAGACTACATGCCGAGGAATAGTCTTTTCGAAAAATTGTCAAACAAATTCTAATATTTGAGTCATAAAATAGACACTCAAGAGCGAAAGAGAGATTCGATCAATTCAACATTTTGTAAAATATTCTATACAATATTTGCAAGACGTACTCGATCGTTCCATTGTTAATGGAGGCATTATTTATACTCTTCACGTGCATGAATCATCAATACTTAATACTATCACAAATCTGTGTACTTCAATTCTCAAACAAAATACATACATACATTGCATATGCTAGCAAAATTTGTTTCTGCTTAGCCAAACAAAGCAACAACAACACACACCAAAACAAAAATAGAATAAAAAACATAAACAAACTTTATGCTCAACAAATCATAGCGCTCGCGGAAAATTTCTCCAAAATTATGTTTATGTTTACTAGCGTGTACTCTCTCTTATTTATTCTACTCCAACATATGGTGAGTACTTATGAGTACTTCTGCTTGTCTTTACTTATAAATGCAAACTGTTTATACTAAGGCGAGGCTGATTTATCACTACCGGCATTTTGTACTACAAATACTCAGGAAAAACCTGTTTGGTATGCACTTATACTTGCTCTTTCACGTATAACAGAGATAGGCAAATTAATATTTCGGCATTAAGTATAAACATTGAGAAATATACTCAATGTTTTCAGTTATTATCGGTGAGTTTTTTTATATGTACATACATATATGTACATATTTGGCAAAGAAAAAAGTTTGTGTGTGCTTAGCAAAACTCTTCATGCTTAATCCCCTATTTTGATTGTTAAGAAAATTTGAAAGAAATTGATTTATTTCCTCTTAAAATGTTTATGGTTTAATAAATCTTTTTTTTAATTCAGTTATTAAATGTTCACCTTTTGTCGCTGTGTATTAAACAAAACACCCTAACAATGCTTACGAAAATAATATGTTTATATATTTTTATCAACCTCCGGAGTACACTCTAAGTCAGTAGAGTAGAAGGGGATGAGGATCAATGGTATATAGACCATTAAGGTCGATTGCGATACCAGATCAGAGTCTTGATTTTTTCTTTTAGCGATAGTGTGCGAATTTTATTGAGTTTTCAACAGAAACCTCAGGTATGTGCTCCAGTCCGGTAAAACTGGAGCACATACCGAGTTCTGGAGAGAGCCGGACAGCTACACAGCAGGTCTTCCAGGTTTCCTTTGCATTGAGCTCGTTACATTTTCTACAAACATCGCAGTAAATTAGGTTTAGTTTTCGTTTTTAGTAATATCATCAATTGCCTCATTTCCCTCTATGCCTTTATGACCAGGAATATAGTAGATACAAAGTCTGCGGTGCAAGCTAGTCTGGCTATAGCTTCCTTGCATTCTAGAACATTTTTGGATGATGACCAGTATTTTTTGACATTGAAATTGAAAGCTAGAAAAACTATACAGTTCTGTATAGTTGAGATAT